TTTGTGTCAAGATATTTAAGTGTTTGCATTATATATATATATATATATGTATAAACTCAGCACAACACTTAATATTTCCTTATTTTTCCTATTAAAATTAATAAATCTACTAATTTTAATCATAAACATTTTCTATCTCACTGAAAGTTTTGTGTGTATTTTCCAAAATTAATTTTGAATAATTCTCCATCAAAACATTGTTTCATTTTGTACAACATTCAAAGAGATTTTTTATTTACATTTTATTTCTCTTTATATGCTAAATACACAATATATTAAATTTATATATATTAAATATAATATATTATATATTAAGTCACATTCCATTTCATTTCTGCTGGCTGTTCATATTGAAAACTAACAAGCCAAAATACCATTCTGAAAAACACAATAGCAAATTAGCAACTATAAACTTTGATTTTAGTAACAGTTGTAATAGACAAGTGATGATAAGATTTAGCAACAATAAATTTATAGCAAGGTTGATAACCAACTCAGAACAGGTTTCAGAATACAGCTGTCCCTTGATAATCCGACAGGTATGGGACCAAAGGGGTGTCGGATTACCGAAAGTAATTACATATTTGGCATATTTTTGCTAGCAGTATCCTACAATATTACCTACTCCAACTGTTTGAACAGAACTACTCACGGAAAACACACGAAATGTGTGTCATTGTGTAAGAATTGGGTGGGGAGATTCACGTCACGACATGCTTCTGTGCAAGCAGACATGTAACGGGACGGGTACCTTGACGGGAGGTACGTCGAACTACTGAGCATGTTGGATTAAAAAACATCAGACTATCAAGGGACAGCCGTAGTTCTAAAATCTCTCATGAATAAAGAATAAGCCTATTTAAATAATCTATTAAAAACTGATTTAATAATAAATAACTGAGCCACTGGTCTTTTTGTAATGATTTCAGACTCAACACACGCCTTTCTGATTTTTATTCATTAACACACGATAACCCGGGACATCATGTATTAATGAATAAAAATCAAGAAGGTGTGTGATGAGTCTGAAATTATAAAAGGCCAGAGGACTCATAATTATTTATTTCTAATTAATAGATAACAGACTAGAAGCTTATAATGAATGTAAAATGTTTTATTTGTTATCAGACAATATACAAATCTTTGTTTCTTGTAAATGAAGACATGCTGAATCTTGCATGTGTACACAATGCATGCCATTTTTACTTTTTATTTTTTGAAGGATATTTACTATTAAAATATAGGTCTATTTCATATAGACGTATACTGTGAAACTTCAATTTAGTGTCACCATTTGTTTGCCTCTGAAATTGGCATAAAATCGAGTGTGGAGCTAAACTTAAGTATTTTAAGAAACAACAATTATATATAGTAATACTGTACATAAGGTGCATCCCATAAATTACATCCACTCTGAAAATTCCAATTTAAAAAAATACATGTTTATTAAATAAAACTTTTATACAAATACCTTTACTTAAACATAAAGTAAACATAATTTATTGAGTGTGTCACTATTATTTTAGCAATGTAAGAGAATGTAAATGTAAGAGAAAATTAAACTGAAAAATGATAACTTAAAATTCTTTCTCCCAAAAATATAGTTTCAGGCACATTTATACTGCATTTACAAATTACAAGTGTGAACCTGCTTTTAATTGCATACAATTTATTTCTAAGGCAAAATCTCAGGTAACTTTGCTTGCTGAAGTGCAAACAAAATGGAAAAAATATGTGCCTTAACAGATTTTGAAAAAAGGCAAATATCAGTTCTTCATGTCCAAGGAATGTCATGCAGAAAAATTGGAAATCAGCTGAATCAATCACAAAGTAGTATTATGTTATCTGAAGTCAGGAAAAATATAGATTAAAAATCCTCAGAAAGTCCATCTAAAATTACTACACTATTGAGGGGTTAGTGATAAAACAGATTTCAAGTAACACCATGACAATCCAATAGATAGAACTGAGACCAAACAATATCTCAATCTTCAATTGGCAGAATTTTAAAATCAACACCTCACCTTGTTCACAAAAAGCTGAAGAGCATCTCCAAAGCTAAATAATCATCATGAACTAAAGAGACTTCAGTGAGAAAAAGAATGAATAAACTAGACTGAAAAGTGGAAGAGTATTATATGACCTGATAAAAAAAAATTTAATTTAGATGATCTAATGGTTGAGCTTACTTTTGGTATCTCAGAAAAGAATAAAACATTTTTCTAAACGACAGCATAGTGGTGGATCATTGATGGTTTGGGCAAGATTCTTGTGAGGGAAAAGCATCAATTCCCTTCATTAACAGCCACGTGAAAGCAGCAGATTATCAACATTTAAATATTAGAACATTTATTCCTTTTTATTAAAAATCTGAAGTACTCCCATTTTTTTTTCAACAATGTAATTCAGTTGTGAACACTGCAAAAACCACTTTCAATGATTTTTAAGTAATGGAGCCCCAGTTTTAGATTGGCCTACTTTGTTCTCCAGACTTGAATCTGACAGAAAACATGTAAATCATCTTGGAAAGATCAGTTTATGTTCATGGAAAATAGTATTCATCTCCTGAGGACCTGAAAGAAGCTATACTACAGAAATGGAATGAAATTTCAATGAATTCTGTATGCAGTTGATCAAATCAATGCCAAATTATATTTTTAAAGTGACTAACAAAAAAGCAAGTAAAATGATTATTAAGTTGAGGCATTATTTCATTTTTATTTTTATTTTAAGTGCCTAGAACTATATTTTTGGGAAAACAAATTTTANTTCAATGAATTCTGTATGCAGTTGATCAAATCAATGCCAAATTATATTTTTAAAGTGACTAACAAAAAAGCAAGTAAAATGATTATTAAGTTGAGGCATTATTTCATTTTTATTTTAATTTTAAGTGCCTAGAACTATATTTTTGGGAAAACAAATTTTAAGTCTTCATTTTTAAATCTGATTTACCCTTACATCTACAAAAATAATAGTAAATATTCAATAAATATATTTATTGAAAATAAATTATATTTGCTTTATGTTTAAGTTAAAGTATTTGCATAAAAGTTATGTAAATAAACATTATTTTTTTAAAACTAGAATTTTCAAAGTTGATCTAATTTCATGGGACACACCTTACACACATTTTGAATTT